ATACTATGAAACATCTCATATTGTGTAGCTTCACCTGAAGATTTAACGCGGCAATCTGCAGAAGTCTTGCACCATACCATGGTAGACATTATTGCTACAACTTCATTTGTGGCTACATCAGGTGACAACACACACCCAATTGAAACAATGATGTCTTGGTTCTGTCCTAGCTGTTCTCCCATCAAAATCACCTCTAAATGACCCAGAAGACAAACAAACACCAGCAGTTTCTCATTCTACTGGGCAGCAGGAGAAGTGGGGGGACTGTGCTCCATGTAGCTTCTTCCAAAATTCAGGCCATTGCTTACCTTGCCCTGAAGTGTTGCCATTTTGTGCCTCCATCGGCCTTTCTGCAGACAAGCAACCTTGATCCAGACGTTCAGCTGGGAGCTCAGCACCCAAACATCGCTGCTGCTGATGTGTCCTCCTGAAAAACAGAGGGATGGAGGGCTGGTGCGCTCCCAAGGACAGCCCCATCACCTCACTACACCACAATATTGCACAATTTCTCCAGGCAATGAAACAACTTCAGCCAGAATATGGTTATTGGGTTATGGCCGTGCAAACTCAGCTTCCCAAGGAAGACAACATCTGGACTTCAAGACATTCCTTATGTAGAACTCATCTGATAGGTGTTACATTTCAAGTGAGGAACAGGAAGGAGACTCTGATGTTTTAGGAAACTTGCCTGACAAAGTACATCAAAACTATCTCATTCCACTGATGAACACTTTTGACAGATGCCCAACAGGAGAGAAAGGTTTTTTGATACTGCCATCCTCCCCCCTCAAAGGTGAAATTGTTCCTTGGGACAGCAAAATCCAAACCACCTAAGGATAAACTTCACCAAGAAGCGACTTTGCCCCAAAGCTGGGATGCACGTGAATGAGTCCTAGTGAATAGACCTAAGGAGTGGCTGTCCAAGCAGAGGTCGTACTGTTCTTTGCAACCAGGAAGGGCCCACCTGGTTCAGGGTATCTCACCTGATATGTACACATCATTCTTCAATGTGCAGGCAGCAAACTCTGACTTGGTGTAGCCAGGCACGCTGGAGAGGGCCGTCCATTGCCTGCTCTTTGGGTGGTAGAGGTCCGTGAAGGGCAGCTTCATAAGGCCTTTCTTATCACAGCCCCCAATGATGATGATGACTTCTGCCAGCTCCATGAACCTGGACCATGAAAGGCATGGGGTAAGTCCCCGGGTCAGGCTACTCCTTTCCATCATTCCTCCCATCTTGTCTAGGATATTGACAGCACAGTGCAATGGATAGAGCAGAGTCCTCTCCTGCATCAGCTACTGATTTTCTGAGCAAATCATTCCAGCCCTGCACCAACTCTTTTGTCTGCACATTCAAATCAAAGGCACCTCCCAGATTGGGTGGGAAGAGGTCCAAACTGCACAGGGGGGTAAAAAAAGAAATGGGAATGACCTTTGGAAGTCCTTTGTCAGATTTCCTCCTGCCACTCACCCTCCCCCTTCCAGCACAATCAAGCCTAATCCTCAAGGCACGGCCATGAGCATGGAAAGCTGTTCCTGGCAGCCCGCCTGCAACAAGCACTCTGCCTGGAGAGAGAAGTGTTTCCAGGAAACCTCTCTCTCCAGCCCTAATAGCAGCGAGCAGACGGGACAGACGGCAGGAGAAGGAAAATCCTGCCAGCTAGTAGGTGGCAAGAGAGAAACGGCTTTTTGGGAGGGGAGGGGAGAAGAAAGAGGAGGGTGAAAGAGGATTTGAAAGACTTGGTCCAATCCTCAGCTCTGCCATGGTTTGTGCAGGCTGAGACAATCCACTTAAGACCAAAGCTGTAAAAGGAGGGAGGCAAAATGTGGATGCTGGTGGGGAAGGTGGGATTTATCCCTGGTGAATTTAAGTTGTTTGAATCCTTGAGGAGGTCACCACAGATCCTATTGTTGAGCAGTTCTGTCTGTAATAGCCTGTCATGGTATTCAGCACATAGAAGATGTGTCAAATCATCTCTGCTACCTGACAGAAACATGCTCTAAATGCCAGGCTGGGCCTTCTGAGATGTGCTGGGGCAACCTCTGTCCTTCTGCCCAAGATGTTCCACCAAGTGGAAAAAAAACCTGCGCTCCTTGGGCTGAGGAGCAGGAGAGCCCAAGAACCTGGCCCAGCAGCCCTGTGGTCATGGGCGTCCTCTGGAAAAGGGTGGGAAGCCTTGCAAACCAACTTGGTTTGATATGGCAACCCACCCCAGGGCAGAGGTGTCCATCAGAACTCTTACCAAGCACACCCTAAGGAACCTGTGGCACCATGAAGAAACAGGAGAGACAAAAAGGTGGCTGGTCAAATACAAACTTCGCAGTCACAAAAAGGTGCAGGTTTCTACAAACACCCAACACTAGAATTCACTTTTTCTTTACCTCCTCCACTTTACACTGGGAGCTCCCTGGGCCAGCATCTCTTTATCTTCTTGATGTTCAACAATAAATTAATGGAAATTAAAAAAGAAAAACAAAAAAAAAAAGGAGATTTGGGGATGCCTAGGTAGCCACCTAGAGAGTAACTGCTTTTTTACCCTGGACATTAATTCCTGACCCTGCAGCAATGCCTCTGAGATAAGCACCATGCTGATGGCCAGAAGGACTGAGAGTGGTCCAAGCCTTCCTGCTAACAGACATCCTGGAGAAGGTGGGAGAGAGAGCAAAAGAGGTGAAATGAGAATAGACCAGTGGCAGAACTGGGAATGGAAAACAGGTCTCAACCCAGTGCTTGGTGAAAGCAGATAAATAAAAGTAAAGAGCTATGAACACCCCTCTCTGCCCATAGTGTGGACACGTATCTGGATAGCATCATTGCACATTCAGAGAAGTGTGACTAGAGCACTTCTTGCCAAACAAAAAAAAAAAAAAGTCACATGCATTAGTATAAATTTCACAGGAATCTCTGAAGCCAGGAAAACATCTCCAATGCCTTCATTTTGGAAACAGGGAGGCCGAAAGAGAAGCAATTGGAGTACCTAAAGGGGGCCTACAGGGAAGCTGGAGAGGGACTTTTTACGAGAGCGTGTAGTGACAGGACACAGGGCAATGGCTTTAAACTGAAAGAGGGGAGATTTTGATGAGATCTAAGGAAGAAATTTTTACAATGAGGGTGGTGAAACAGTGGAACAGGTTTCCCAGAGAAGTTATTGATATCCCATCCCTTGAGGTGTTCAAGGCCAGGCTGGATGAGACTTTGAGCAACCAGGTCTAGTGGAAGGTGTCCCTGCCCATGGCAGAGGGGTTGGAACTAGACGGTCTTTAAGGTCCCTTCCAACCCAAACCATTCTATAATTCTACGAAAAAGAAAGAAAAAAAAACAACCCAAGAACTCCCCTCAAACTTTAAGATCCATCATCTTAGGCCAGGCTGGTCTAGGAAAGAAGACACTATGTTTTACCTTCTGGGCCTTGATCGTAAAGAGCTGACCTCGTTCCCGAGGATGTAGTACTTGCGGGCCTCGTGCAGTAGAGGAATGCACTCCTTTGAGTCCTGGATGAGTTCATCCATTTCCACTTTCTCCAGGAAGTAGGTGGGATCGAGCAGGGGCAGACGCACATGTTCAAGGAGGTCCTTCAAGGCTCCCTTCCTGGCAGGTACATCATGCCGCACCCAGCGCATGACAGCTTCAAAGACCACTTCCTCCTTGGGGACCACCAGCTGCTCATCAGACAGATATTCAATCAACTCCTTCACATCCATCTCCAGGAACTCTTCATGACATGACACCTCCACAAAACACTCCAGCATGAACCTCTTGCTCTTTTCTGTCAGAGACGCAATGGAGAATGAATCAGCAAACTTCATGATGCCCAAACAATTACATGGGTGAAGCTGGCCTTCAAGGAAGGTGACACAAGCATCTCTGAGCTTGGAGATCTGCAGCAAGTCAGACAGTTCCAAGATGCCTTCAACGTTGTCCTCTTGAATGATGATGTTCCCCCCATACATATAATCAAGAAGGAGAGACATAGTGGAAGCAGATATCTTCTGGATATTAATGATGTCCTGGTGGCCTTCCTTGAGATTGCCACCAAACATGGCCCGGAAATACGTGCTGTTGGCTGACAACGTGGCACGGTGACAGGGGAATTCTTGTCCGTCAATTAATAGCACCACGTCTGTGAAGATGCCACTCTGCCTGTAGGAGTTGAGCGTCTGGAGGATTTGCTCAGCGTGGCAGGACCCACTGCAGAGCTTCATGTGCAGCTTTTCTTTGCTTGGGTCCCGTGTCACATTTTCCAGGCCACCTGTCCCGAAACTTGATTCTTCTTTCATCATTCGATGCATCCTGATTGGGAAGGAGTGAAGGAGACAAGAGAACAGGACACTATTAAAATATCTGACTGTGATGGCCAACACCATCACGTTTTCTGCATCTTCCTTGGTGCCATGAAGAAGTACAGATTCCAACCAAAATATAGTCAGACTCTGCCCCTTCATCCACACCCATGGCTCCTCCTCAGTAACCAACATTTCCCCCAAACCATGGCACAGTGATGGGCACCAGGATATTTCCAACCCAACCGCATCTCAGTAGACAAATTTACTTCTGCTTTTAGGAGATGTTCCTTCTAAGGCAGTTGCCTTGCCCAACCTATGCTGTACTAAAACTTGTCCTGATTTTGGCTGGGACAGAATTAGTTTTTCTTTTTAGCAGCTAGAAGAGCTCCGTGTTTTGGATTTAGTCTGGGATTTGTTATGAGAAGAACATTGGTAACACACTGATGTTCATAGTTGGAATTGAGACCTTGAGGACTTTTCAGCTTCCTGTGTTTTTGCCAGTGTGGGAGGGAGCATGGATGGGAGAAAGGGCCCACAACCTCTCATTTTAATTGAATTTAGACTTAGGATTGAGTGACAAATTGATCGATGAAGCATTCCATATCATGCAATGTCATGCCCAGTGTATAGATGAGGGTTGATCCAAAAGAAGGGCTTTTGCTCTTCCGGTGGCTCTCACTCTTGGAGTGCTCTCTCTCCCTCTCTCTTTCCAGGCCTTTCACTCATCCAGGATTGCAGTGTCAGGACTTATCTGTTTCGGGATCGTTAGCTGGGACAGGACAGGCATTGGTCAAGGGGTGCATCACTTCTTTGTATATATTATTATTTTACACACATATATATATTTGTGTATTATTATTATTAAATTGTTCTTATCTCAGCCCACAAGTCTCCTTCCCTTTTCCCCTTTATTACTTGTCCCCCTCCCCTGGGGGTGGGGGAGGCTGAGCGAGCTGCGTGGCATTTAGTTGCCAGCCAGGCTAAACCACCACACACCTTGACACCCTTTCCTTTCTTTCTGACATCTTGCAGCTCTTATCAACTGATTCCTTCATCCTCCCGGATGCAAGCGCTCCATGTTACAGCCCAGTTGGGAGCAATGCAGTATTTTAACTTTTTCTACCCACTTTGTTTCCCCAGATGCATTATTCCAGGCAAAAATCCAGAGGTAAGGATGTGAGACTGAGATTTGCCAAAGGTAGCCATGACATGACCTGCCCAAAAGCAGGGGAGACGTCTACATCTGACGTACCTTTCTACTAGGTTTGTTCTCCAGATGATTTTCAATTTTTCCTGAAGGGTTTCATAAAGCAGTTGCAACGAAGCACACCAGACTTCTCTCATTCGAGCTCTAACGGTTCGCACTGACAGCGTGAGCAGCAGGACCCATCCTTGTAGGACAGGGAGAGCCACTTGCTCAGCCTGGAGGCTGCAAATAGCTGCACATCCAAAGGGTGATCCCTGCTCGAGTTGGGAGGAGGCAGCCAGATCAGTAACCCCTGGGGAGAAGGGCCTCTGCCTGCAAAGGTTGGGGTGAGGGGGTCTGAAAAGCAGAGGAGCATTGTGGCATCTAAATAGTGACAAGAATTGACCATGTCTGACGGTGAGTGAAGCGAAGACCCCAAACCCTCAACTGCTCCCTCAACCGTCCTAGACTGACCAATAGAACCATAGAATGGTTTGGGTTGGAAATGACCTTAAAGATCATCTAGTTCCAACCCCCCTGCCGTGGGCAGGGAAACAAACCTTCCACTAGGACTGGTTGGATGAGGCTTTGAGCATCCTGGCCTTTTTTCCAGGGATGGGGTAGCCACAGCTCCTCTGGGCAATAGGTTGGCACTGACCTATTTCCTCCATTTCTCCCCAAAAGCCTGCCCTGACCCATCAGTCTTGTGCAGACCCAGACACTGGGGAGGAAGAGTGAGGAGGGGATTGAACCTGTCTCTCCCTGCACTTGCCTAACTGCTTTCATCAGCTGGATGATGAATAACAGGGGCACAGTGATGCCACCACCTGTGTTTCAAAAGCACAACAGAGAGTCAGCATCACTCCTTGAGTGGGGGTGCCAGTGAGGGCCATCAGCAGAGCACTCCTGATCACAGCTTCTACCACGGCCATGCAGGTTTTAGATTGCTTTTCTGAGGCTCTATAACAGCAGAGCGCTTGTTTTGGGGGAGGCTCAGGCTCTGCTCTTCAGGCCCTCCTAAGCCAGGCTTTGGAGCATCTTGCCACAAGCCTCTAGCAGAAGTGTAAGTCCTCACTGAGGTGACAAGTCACCAGATATCAGTGGCTTTGTGATGTCCACACACTCCCCTGCAGAAAGGCAGGTAGCACATCCCTCTGGGAGGATTACCTTGAATTTCTCGTGAGTCAAAAATCCCTGTCTTAGCTCTAGTCCTTCACCTCTTTTCCTACACCTGCATCTCCCAGACAGCCATCGCGTTTGACCACAGACCCCAAAGGCGCTTAGATTCTCCCGTGCTCCAGAAGACACCTCCTGGCTGCACCTGCACCAGGGTAGCTGCCTGCAGGACAACCAAGTCTAGCCCTGAGCATCCTCACCCCACCACCCCAAGAAAGTGTAACTGTATTCTTTGAGCCTCCAGAATCCCCTGGCAGTGGGGAAAACCCCTCTTCCCGTGCCACGGGGTAGATGTAGAGACCTAAAGAGCAGTGAAACAGCATGACAAGCCCTGACAATATATCTAAGAAATCTTATAGGAGTGAGGGAAGGCTCTACGCACCCCAAACGCCACTGATGGGTGCTCAGGGCTGTGTACAGAAGGCAACTGCTGTTAGACCGTTCAAAGCGATTTAGAGAAGATGCAAAGAGCAAGGCAGAGTCCATGTTTCGCCGACCCAAGCAGCTCCAGCCAAGAAAAAAACCCACATCTATACCCCCACTTCTCTCCCTGATCCGCACGTGTTCCCAAGCCGTCACTGCTCAGTGCTGGGAAGGAACAGCTCAGGCTGACCTCCTTTCAAAGAGACACCCCCCACTCACTCCCCATAATCCAACTGCCCTTCCCCAGCTCACATCCCTCCTGCCTACCCACGAGAAAAACAATGCCAATGCTGAAGAAAGAGTGGGTTTGCCCCTTTGCCCTCACCTATAGAATCACAGAATGGTTTGGGTTGGAAGGGACCTTAAAGATCATCTAGTTCCAACCCCCCCTGCCATGCATGTTCCTCTCTGGATCACCCTCTCCATCCAAGTACCACACAGCAGCAAATGCTGCATTATTTTTTTTTTTGCAAGCCTCCCAGCTTCTGCCCCAAGAAGTCCAACGTTACCTGGCCCACAGGTTGAGTTCTCCAGGTGGGATCTAGCGAAGACTCAACCTCCCTCTTGGAGAGCTCCCATCCACGTTGGGGCTTTGCACGGAGACAGGTCCCCTCCAGTCAGCCCTTCTGCGGCAACGCTTGGGGAAAGCACAAAAGCATCCCCTTTATCTTCCCTGCCGGAGAGGTGGGGGAAGAAATCTGCTTTTGTTTCTCCTGAATGACATGCCGGAGAGCTACAGGGCATTAGCCACGCAGCTGTCAATAACAGCCAGCCAGGGAGGAGCCAGGACCCAGGGAAAACCCATCGCAGCTCAGGGAAAATATATCACACCAGGGCAGCTTAAGAGGGCCGAGCCATCTGGAGAGCAAATTGAGGTCCAGGTGGAACGATTCATTTGATAGAGACTCCGTCTCGCTGGAAACCACACTAAAGCCCATAAATAAAATACGGCTCTGTGAAACAAAAAGATGCCCGGAGCAGCAACGGACTGGGTCAGGGAGGAGCTGCAGTCCCCCTCATTAACGTGTGATAATTAGGTAATTAGGTCCTTGAGGGTGATGAGGACAGAAGGGAAGGTTTGCCCCGCATGGCTTTCTGCACCCTCGCCTCTAACTGGGTTGTTGGCTGAATTTTTAAATGCTCGTAGCAAGGATCAAAGCAGCCTTGGGGAAGCTCCACGGAGTAACCCTTGTGCTGAAGATTGCCAAACCCCCCTAAAACGATGCAGGCAGCCTTCCCTCCCTCGCCCAGCATCGCTTTGAACAACTGGTATTATTTTACATTAGACAGAAGAGAAATATTAGTAATAACCAAGCCCTGCACGTTGTTTGCTGGCTGGCTCCTTTCTGCCCCTCTGCCATTGCTGGGATGCAGGGCACAAGCTGGCATCCTGCTTGCTCCCAACATTTGCATATGAATCACTGTCAACCTGGAAGGGACTGTGGTTTCCCAGCTTGCACAGTGAGCTGGGGGGATTTGCTCTTAGGACTTTCTACTCTGACAGAGTTGGCTCTTACCAGGCTGCACCGACCAGGGGTGCAACCATGGCTGTGCACAGATGGAGCTAGAGATGACGGGGAGTGGGTCATCAGGGGAAATGGCAGCACAGCACTGATCCTGCCCCGTGGGGCACAGCAAAAAGGTCTCCAGGGCGTTGGAAACCCTTCAGCAAAAGCTGCAAAGCTGTCATCTCCATGCAGCCATAAAGCATGGGGCTACCAACCTGTTCAAATCCGAAAGCCCCACTACAAGCAGGGCGTGCAGCCCTGGGGTGACAGTGGGGTGACAACAGCTACTAACAGTTGTAAACACACAAAGCGAGCACAACGAGAAGTTTTTACAGGGTGCAGCTGTCCCCATGCCTGTGCCAAGCCACCTATAGAGCAGGCTTCTACAGCCAGACTGCCCTGTGCTTGGCTCTGGATCTCCCTGTGTGATGCCACTGTGCTCCAAAGCGGCTGTCACTGTGCTACAACCCACACTTGTGGTCTTTTTGTCTGAAACCGAGGGCATTAAATACCCTGCAGAGCTGCAAGAGGACGTGGAGGTGTTCGAAAGGGGTGTCTGCAAGGCAGCACCACAGGAAGGACGCCTTATGTAAGAGCAGGAGCTCACTCTCTCCTTGGGGTTGCTCAAGGTGCCCTGGGTCTTCTCCCAGGGGTAGATACAGAAGCCAGAAGCAGTGATTTTAGAGTCCCAATCCCTGGTAAAATCCCTTCTG